CCGGGAAAGGCTGTATTGGAATTCCATCTCGGTCTTTGCCCCGGCGGCGAAAGTGAAGAGGAAAGAAGGGAGGGAAAGTGATGCGATTATTCGAATTGATTAGAAGAGGGTATGATTGCATCATGTCAAATAGAAGAGGGTATGATTACATTATATTAACTAGCAGAGGGTTATATTTAATTATATTCACTACAAGAAGGCATGATTACATTATATTAACTAGCAGAGGGTTTAATTTTATTTTATTCACTAGAAGAGGCCATGATTACATTATATTAACTAGCAGAGGGTTTAATTTTATTTTATTCACTAGAAGAGGCCATGATTACATTATATTAACTAGCAGAGGGCATGATAACATTAAAAGACCCAAAAGAGGGCATGGTGATAAAATGTCAACCAGAAGAGGGTATAACTATATCAAACTAACTAGAATCCAACATGCAACGTCGCTCCCTGCTTTGTACGGAGCCGGGGAAGACTGTGTTAGAATTTCCTTCTCGGTCTTTGTCTCTGCGGCGAAAATGGAGAGGAAAATCGCAAGGGAATTCGAGGGGAAAGAGCGCTTGGTGATGGCGGAATGTCCCTTTGGTCAGAAACGGGAAGGAAAATTTTATGTAAAAAAGAGAGGAGAAACTATCTAGTAAGAAGGGGGGGGGGAGGGGTAAAAAGAATGGAAAGAAAAAAAAAAAGAGATCTAGTTATCAAAGATAGAGAGAAGGAAAAGGTACTGAGCGTCACTGAGTGTAAAATGAAACCTCGATAATTGAATGATTAGGAACTTGGAGGTAAGCAAATATTTCGAAAAAAAAAAACAGAAATAACAAAAAAAAAAATCGAAAAAATACGTAATTCAGACTAAAATCAAGCCATCAAAGTGGAAACCAAATCATCGACTTAAAAACAAACAGACGTAAACGAACTTGCAACTTGCCAGATAGCACGAGCTTTCGCCTTCTCGGTCTCGTTGCAAAGAAGATCGACTGCAATAAGACGAAAAGAATAAATAAATAAATAAAGTGATGATCATAAGGACGACGAAGAAGAAGGAATGTTCAAGGAAAAGAAGCTTAAGGAAGTTGTAGTTTCCTTTCGTTATTTTCCTTTTACGAATATGAGAGGAGATAAATCATGATAAGAAATAGAATAAGAGCAAGTTATATTAATGTAATAGTGATGATAGCGATCATTATAACGGTTGAGAAAATGTTGATAATGACGATGATAACATGATGATGATGATGAGATAGAAATATAATAATGATAATGAGGATAAGAAGCAAAAAGAGAGAGAAGAGAAAGAAGGACAATAATAATGATGAAAGGAAATATATTGATGATGATTATTAGTGATACTAATAACATGCAAAAAAAGAGAAGATGGTAGATAACAGGGAAAAAGACAACAAGGAAAACGGTTAAAGAAAACAAGCACCAAAGATAAAGAAAAAGAAGTGAATGACTATCGATAAGGGATTAATCTGCAGCATAGCGCCGGGTAAAATAAAATCTGATTTCGGTAAAATCAGAAACCTTTCTCAACGGAAAAAAGGAAAAAAAACATTAAAGAGTAATAAATAAGAGAATATGTTCGGAAAAGATTAAATACACAGAATTAAACATTTGCATCCCTGCGAGTCGTTCCTGGAAGCAAATATAATCACGTTTTCTTTGCCCATTTCTGTTGCTGCTGCAAATGCTCTAGTAAAAGAAATTGTGCAAACTTAATTCATTATTTGCTTACAAATCAGCGCAAAAGAATTCCTTTTTGAAATGAGTAATTTCAAAATTAGAATAATGCATTTACGACAGGAACCCTGGGTGTTTATTCTCTCTATCTATCTATCTATCTATTTCTCAATCTATCTATCTATCTTTCTATTTCCGTTTCTCTATCTCTATCTTTTTATCTCCTCACTCTCTCTCCATGTGTCTGTCTATCCTCTCTCTCTCTCTCTCTCTCTCTCTCTCTCTCTCTCTCTCTCTCTCTCTCTCTCTCTCTCTCTCTCTCTCTCTCTCTCTCTCTCTCTCTCTCTCTCTCTCTCTCTCTCTCTCTCTCTCTCTCTCTCTCTCTCTCTCTCTTCTCTCTCTCTCTCTCTCTCTCTTCTCTCTCCTCTCTCTCTCTCTCTCTCTCCTCTCTCTCTCTCTTTCTCTCTCTCTCTCTCTCTCCTCTCTCTCTCTCTCTCTCTCTCTCTCTCTCTCTCTCTCTCTCTCTCTCTCTCTCTCTCTCTCTCTCTCTCTCTCTCTCTCTCTCTCTCTCTCCTCTCTCCATCTCTCTTCTCTCTCTCTCTCTCTCTCTCTCTCTCTCTCTCTTCCTCTCATCTCTCTCTCTCTCTCTCTCTCCTCTCTCTCTCTCTCTCTCTCTCTCTCTCTCTCTTCATCTCTCTCGCTCGCTCTCTCAATTCTCCCTGAAGGCCTGATGGTTCGAATAACATTGAAAGATTAATGAGCCAGAACCTGTATTGAAAATAACGAACGAAATTAATCGTGAAAAAGACATTTCTCAAAGCTAAGAGAAGGAAATAATTTTTGAAACTTTCCCAAGGTACGAACGGTACGATTTCCTCCTCTTTCTCTCCTTCTCCTTCTCCTCCTCCCTCTCCTCCCTCTCCTCCTCCCTCTCCTGTCCCTCTTCTCTTCTCTTCTCTCTTCCTCTCCTCTCCTCTCTCTCCTCTCCTCTCCTCTCCTCCTCTCCCTCTCCTCTCCCTCTCTCTCTCTCCTCTCCTCCCTCTTCCTCTCCTCTCCTTCTCCTCTCCCCTCTCCTCTCTCTCCTCTCTCTCCTCTCCTCCTCTCCCTCTCCTCTTCTCTCTCCTTCTCTCTCTCTCTCCACTCTCTTTATCTCTCTTCTCCCTCTTCTGCCCTCGCTATCAGTTTCTCTCTCCTTCTCCTCCCCCTTCCCCCTCCCATCACCTCCCTCCCTAACCCCTAACCCCTTCCCCCTTTCCTTCCCTCCCTCCTCTCTCCCCCTCCTTCCCTCTCCCTCCTTCTCCCTTCCCCCTCCTCTCCTCCTCCCTCTCCCCCCTCCCTTACTCCCTCCTCCATCCCCACTCCTCTTCTCTCTCTCTTCTTCCCTCCTTCTCCCTCTCCCCTCCCTACCCCTCTACCTTCTCCCCCTACTTTCTCTCCCCTTCCTCCCTCCTCTTCCCCCTCTCTCTCCCGCCTTCTCCCTCTCCCCCTTCCTTCTCCCTCTCTCCCCGCCTTCTCCTCTCCCCCCTCCTTCTCCCCTTTCCCCCTACCTTCTCCCTCTCCCCCACCTTCTCCCTCTCCCCCCCCCCCCCCCCACCCCCCCGTCCCAAGCGGATACGAATAGGGCGTTCAGTTGAATGATTCAACCCTATTGGTGTCCTTTGGGAAATGGGTTATTTATCGTCGTTTCTTTCTGTTTGTGTCCCTGGGCCTTTTACTCTTCTCTCTCTCTCTCTCTCTTCTCTCTTTCTTTCTTTCTTTTCTTCTTTCTTCTTTCTTTCTTTCTTTCTTTCCCTCTCTCTCTCTCTCTCTCTCTCTCTCTCTCTTCTCTCATCTCTCTCTCTCCTCTCTGTCTCTTCTTCTTCTTTTCTCTTTCTTTCTTTCTTTCTTTCTTTTCTTTCTCTCTCTCTCTCTCTCTCTCTCTCTCTCTCTCTCTCTCTCTCTCTCTCCTCTCTCTCTCTCTCTCTCTCTCTCTCCTCTCTTCTCTCTCCCCTCTCTCTTCCCTTTCCTCCCCTCCCTTCCCTCCTCTCCCTCTTTTTCCTCCCTCTTTTTTCCTCCCTCTCCTCCCTCCCTTCCTTTCCTCCCTCTCCTCCCTCCTTCCCTCTCTCTCCTCCCCTTTCCTCCCTCCTGCTTCTCTGACCCCAGACAATTGGTCTAAGACGTACACAATTTCCCGTAAAGATCCGCAGAAGGGGAACAGGGTGAGTGGATGGGAAGATATGGTTTGAGTTCAGTAATATCATTAGTCTTTTTTCTCTTCTTTCTTCCTCCTATTTTCACTCTCTCTCTCCTCTCTCTTCTCTCTTCTCTTCTTCTGTCTGTCTGTCTGTCTCTCTGCTCTCTCTCTCTCTCTCTCTCTCTCTTCCTCTCTCTCTCTCCCTCTCTCTCTCTCTCTTCTCTCTCTCTCTCTCTCTCTCTCTCTCTCTCTCCTCTCTCTCCTCTCCTCTCTCCCTTTACTTTCTTTTCTATTTTGTTGTTGAGTTTTTTGGTTTTTCTGTTTCTTCATGTTCTTCCTTTGTTTTATACTTCGCCCTTTTGTTTTTTCCCCTCTTTTTTCGACGTTTTTTTGTTTTCTTTTTTTCTTATTTTTCATCTATTATTTCTCCTTTCCCTTATCCTCATCCTGCTACTTCTACTACTACTACTTTTCTCTCCTCCTACCTTTCTCCTTTCTGCCTCCTTTCCTTCCTCCTCCTCGTCATCATAATCCTTCCATCCTCTCCTCATTCTCCTTTCTTCTTCTTTCTTCGTCTTTTTTTTTCTCTCACCCTCTTCCCTCTCATTATCTTTTACCTGCTTCTCCTCTTCCTCCTCCTTCACTTCCCCTCCTCCTCCTCCTCCTCCTCTTCCTTTCACTCCTCCTCCCCTTCCTCCTCCTTCACTCCTCCTTCCCTCCGCTCCTCCTCCTCTTCTTCTCTCCTCTTCTTCCCCTCCTCCTCTTCCTCCCCCTCATCATCATCAATCATCATCCTCCCCCCTCTTGCTCCTTCCTCCTTCTGCCCTAGTCTTTTTTCCTTTCACTACTCCTCCTTCACCTCCTCCACCTCCTCCCCCTCCTCCTCCGTCCTCTTCTCCTCCTCTTCCTCTCATCCCTCTCCTACTCCTCCCTCTTCCAGCTGCTGCTCCTCTCCTCCGGTCCTTCTTCCCTCCTCCTCTTCTTCCCCCGTCCACCATTTTTGAAACTGACATGCACTCAGAATGAACACAACTCAAGAGCATTAATATTGCTTTTACGTCGACCCGCACTTCATGTCACTTCATTTAGGCCTTTTTAAAAATAAATGTGTTGCCGTTTAGTAGTTCCTGCAATGGTATTAATGGAAGTGAATGAGAGGGATTATCGGTATAGAGAACGAATTGATGACTGGATTGTGTCTAATCTTAAACTTTTTAATTTCGCTCGTAAATTCATTCGGATGACCTGTTGCTCTCGGTGTCCTCAGAGCAAGGTGGTCTGGCTGTGTGTCGGAGTTTTGGAATGACTGCTAGATCTCTTATCTTATCTTTTTCTCTTTCTGTTTATCTCTCTCTTCTCTCTCGCTCTCTCTTGTCTTTCTCTCTCTCTCTCTGATCTCTTTCTTCTCTCTGCTCGATCTTCTCTTTCTCATTCCTCTCTCTCTACTCTCTCTCTCCTTCTCTCTCTCTCTCTCTCTCTCTCTCTCTCTCTCTCTTCTCTCTCTCTCTCCTCTCTCTCTCCTCTCTCTCTCTCTCTCTCTCTCTCTCTCTGCCTCTAAATACGACTCATCCTGACATACAAAACATTCCTTTTCTCTCTCTCTCTCTCTTCTTCTCTCTCTCTCTCTCTCTCTCTCTCTCTCTCTCTCCTCTCTCTCTTTCTCTCT